TTTTTGTTTAAAATTTTCCAAATACTTTTTCATCAGTGTAAGGAATTTTTCAGCATAGCATTTCTAAACATACTTATTTTCCTTAGAAGCAGAAATCATTTCTGCTTGACACAATAACAGAATTATTTCAGAAAGAACAAACAAATATTACCAAAGCCAGTGGTATTAGCTTCCTGAAAAGCTGACCTTTTTATTGAGCCACAGCATAAAGTGCTGCTGTGCAGTGACGTGCTTTAACTTTTTGATGCTCAAATCAAGTTTAAACTGAGGGTTTTCTTGAATTTACACACAGTATAAAAACATCAGCAAAGGTTTAAGCTGTCATTTAAGAAATAATCATGCCAAAAACAAAATAAATCCCTTTAGATTTGAGGGGAAGAAAGATTTGCTGATGCCTACAAAGCAGGAGGCGGATATACAAAGTTATCACAGCGTTTCCAAGTATCATCAAGAAATTCAAAAAGTGCCACACAGTGCAGAACAGACTGATAAAGGTAGGAAGCAAAGGATTTCAAAAGATTTCATCTCTAGCCAGTTTTGAAATGTGTCTTAAGATCCCAAAACAACTGCCAAACACTAATGAATGACTTAGCCAAGTCAGAGAACCGTAGAGAGAACTCAGTAATGGGTGACCTCCAATTCTGCAGAAGTTACACCTTCAAACCAGACTAAAGTATGCTAAGGACAACCTTAGGAAAGCATATTGGAAGCACATCATTTGATCAAATTAAATAAACAAGAGTTTTTTTGACCACAAAGATGCTGCCTTTAATTTAGAGAAAGAAAGGAGAGCTCAGGAGGCGTGTGTGAGACTCGCTGAAAACTACAGCAAACCGCTGCAGGCTGTAATCCAGCAAAAGGGCCACAGAACTGATGATCAGCACTGGGTGTGCTGATGATTTTAACCCTGGCACCTTTTGTTTCTGTGTGAAAAGTGAAATAATTTAATCATCCAAAATAAAACCAGGATATTTGGAAAAGCTGTGCTAAAAAAAAATCTGTGCTCTGTTTGACAGCATTTGGCAAATACTTAAAAAAAAAAGGAAATTTAAGAATAATTCTGCTTTCCTCCTATTCGTTACTGATTCTAAACAAGCATGCTGGGAATGCACCAGTTGAAAGTTGATGACTTATTAATAGATGAAACTGTATACTGTACACATACACACATGAAAGTACACATTAAATACTGTCCACTTAATCTTTTGTCTCTGATTTTTTTTTTTTTTGTATATCTGTTTATGATAATCAACTAAGAAACTCACTATTTCCTTACTGTCACTCCGACACATGAACATATGCACGAACACATGCATGCAAGCACTGACACAGTCACTTGATAACCTTTTACTTTGCCCACCCACCCACTCACACACACACTGGTTTTCTACAACAATAACACACTACATGTGCTGTGGATTCAATTCACTGCCTTCTCGTTCTTCCAGCTCAGATTTAAACTCCCAGTTAGATGAAACACATGTTTCAAACAGCTTCAGTAAATTCAAAGAAAAATACTTTGGCATGAAAATGTGACATAAATAGCAAACAGCGAAATGAAGAAAGCAGCATAATGAAGCAGGGTTACGTGATTAACACTAATTCTAGGAGTTTGGGATAAGTTACAAAATTAATGCTTGTGCTTAAATAAACCCAAATGGGTTTTTAGCTTTGAGTATTTTTACTTTGTCCCCCTTCAGAAGTCATGCTTAGAAATGAGGGAAAATGAAAAATCAAATGCAGCTGCTTCAGGTCCCAGGACATAAGTTGCAGGCTCTGGGCCGCTTTGTTGCTTTGAGGCCCTTTTCAACTCATTAAAAGTGTTTTTATTGGCATACCAAGTCCACCTGTGAGTCATCCAACTCATGATGGCAACTTCAATGCATAGCCAAGTGCAAAGGTCACCGTTAAACAACAGTAACTCATAGGAGCAGGCAATGTCAAAAATGAAATCTGCACGGGTAAAATGCAGAGGAACAAAGCGCGGCCATGTTAATGTGACATTTGCTGCCCTCGTGGTGCGTCTTTTTCATTTATCAACTGACACTCGTGACATTCATTGACCACTGTGGTGTTATCTTCCAGATCAGATGCCCTTTAAATAAGAAAAAGGGCTTCGAAACGTGGTGTTTGTTCTAGGTGTATATTATTCTCACTGTGTTTCCAGGGGTTTGAGCTCCAGAGTCTAAATGTGCAAATATATATAATCCCTTACGAGCATTTGTTATCCATACTCTCAGAACATTTAACGATGCTCCCTGGGAGTGTAAAATAAATAAATAAATAAATAAATCACACTCTAACAGGGGTGTGGGCCCACTTTTGTGGTTGGATTTGTGGTTTCTCCATAAGAAAAGAGGTATGTGGGAATCTGTGCAACCATTAAGGCCTTCCTGGACTGCCCAACAATGAGGCAGCGAAGGAGGAATAAGTGGTGTTTGATCCTATCAACCAACATCTGGCCTACAGGAGGAGCTAAAGTTAGCAGCCCATGCTGATGTCATTAGGGTAAAATAGCAAGTATACTGGCAAAGGCACAGTGTTCCCAACATGACAGCACTGTTAGTGTAGTAGGGAGGTGGCAGAGATGAGGACAGATTATACCTGCTGGTGATTATGTAACTGACTCATCTTCATGTCCTTTTAACAGCTGATCTCTTTTGTCAGTCTTCAGCTCCTAGGCTGCTGGAGTTAGCAGGGAGGCCTCCTGGGAGAGAATGAGAAATACAGGGTGGATCAAGGCTGTAACAAAGCTTTTTAGAGTTTAATCAGTTCCACTCATCGAGAGTTGCTGGCCCCATCTGTCCAATCAAGTCCCATTTCCATGGCGGGCTCCTGGCTCCAAAGATGGCTACAGTACTGTCAGCCAGACTTTGATAGGCAACTCTGTTTCGAGGACCACCACCTCATCAGAGACTTGTGGTTCTTGTGTGGGTTTCTTTGGAACCTCTATCGGCCGGATCTCCTCGCTGATGTAATCAATAGCTCTGGCATGTGTTAATCATTAATAAACTGCTGTGGTCAGGATGATTTAAGCGCTGAGAGCACTCTGATATGATAATGTCATTAGATGTGGGTTGTTTAGCTCCTTAGGGAAGTTTTTTATTTTCATGTCCTTTTTGTGTGAGATCATCGTTTTGGAGCTCTTTTCAGTCTGGGACAATGAAGAAAAAGACTCCTAGCTAAACATTTAAGCAAGCCCATCCTAAATGATAGATATGTGTGGCACAGAATTACAACATCGATAGGACCCATATCAATTCAGTAAGGCTACGTTCACACTGCAGGTGTTAATGCTCAATTCCGATTTTTTGATCGAGTCCGATTTTTTTGTCTGCTTGTTCACACTACAAATAAAATGCGCCAGCAAACGCTCTCTAGTGTGAACGCTCAAAGTGGCCCGCATGCGCAAAAGAAGACGTCACACACAACGCACTAGACCCAGAGCAAACAGTATTGTTTGACTGATGGCCCTTAATATAAAGACTTCGGACTTTACGTTTCCCAATTTTTGCTTTAAGTTATTTTGTTATTTACATAATAATGTAGATAACCTAATAATTATCCTCATTGCTGTTTTAGAGGAGAGGTGCTTCAAAGGAAAGTTGCAGATTTCTGTCAGAATCTGCAGATTATACAGTACAAATAACATGCTCACGTTTCTCCAACGTTGTCTTCCCAACAGTGTCACTGACATCTACGCTGGATGGCCAGGAAGCCTTCGCGATGTCTTCTCGGGCGCTTCTCCTGAGTTGATAATTGGCGTCTGTCTTGTGTCAGTGACGTAAAAGACGGATTTAATGCGACATTACCATCAAACAGCAGTCGCTTTCTAAACATCGGATATGTATCAGATTCAGTACCACATACGAAAGTGACCCAGATCGGATTTGAAAATATCGGATTTGTGCCGTTCACACTGTCACACCATGATCGGATATGGGTCGCATAGGGTCATAAAAATCGGATTTGATGCGCTTTCGCCTGCAGTGTGAACGTAGCCTAAGTCTTTACTCGACCAGTACCTCATAGGAGCTGGGTACAGTAACTTAGATCACCTCACAAACCTAGCTACAACGAGACACTGACCTCCTACACCGTGAGAGAAGAGTGAACATTTAGGGTCAGGGGAGTGTGTGCTCCAGTTGCATTCCATTATGTTATCATCACAGACATTACATTCAATGTTATTACTAGAAGCAGCAGCTTCTTTTTTTGGTCTTTTTTCTTTAAGAGCAGCCAGAAAAGCAGAGCCTTTCCAGCTCGATCCCTCAGTCTAGCCAAGAAAAACCAAGTCTAATCCTCTTCTCCTTCCTCGGTGTCCAACCTCACACACAACTCACAGTAAGGCCTTACCTTTGCCACGTCTTTCTTTGTCATAAACCTCACCTGTCAGTACTCTAATTTCTTCATCTCTCTTGCTTTTCTACTCTTGTTCATTTAGATGAAAGATGTCAGTGTGTTGGTGTATCCATAACACACTGGTTAAAGATGCATATTTTTGCGAAGTGGACTCATTTTTTAAATTCTGCACTATTATTGTCACAATTCAACTTCACATCGCAACTACTCAGTATTTTTATTCCTTGTCCCCCTGGCCCACATCTTGAGACATTGTCCCACATTCTGACTGGCTCGACGGGTCATGCACTTTTCTAAAATCTGGATTTTACCCAACACATGTGAAGGGAAGGCTTTTTATTATAGGGAAATAAAGGATAACCAGTCTAAAGTTACATAAAGCTTTGCAGATTTTGCTGAATATGATGAAAACTACCTCAAAGAAAATGAAGCAGCAGTACATACTGAGAAATATTTTTTGCAGTGTGTCACAGGAGAGAATATAGTGCTAAAAAAATAGCGTAAAGTGGCACAGTATGTTTGACATAATAGGCTAAACACTGCTTAAGTTGTCAAATATGGCTCAAAAAGATTTGCCAACTTGTACTATCATCTTCGTCCCCATGACAACTGTTGCTGCGTCTAACAGTACTTCCACTTAGAAACTAAGATTCTCTACAGTTCAGTTTCAGCTATGTGGTGGACACACAAAAGACCTGTAACAGCTTGCAACAGAATTGAAAAATATGGTATGTCGTATTTATTTTTTCCCCTTTTGCTTACAGAGTTAAATTACCAAATGCTACTCGTTAATTGTGTTCAGCAAAGCCAATCACAAAGGCTGAATGCTAAGGCTAAGCACCCGGCGTATGTTTAACACCCTGTCGGTTAAAAGACTACCTCCAGCTGAAGTCGGGCAAAACGTTTAACATACGTTTAACGTACGTCGTGTATTCAGCGTTAAGTAATGTCTAGTTTCCCTTTTACATTTTGTACTATTATCCACTTTAGTAACGCGTGTATAAACTTATATGTGCAACATATAAAGCTTCAACTTTTCATACACATTTAATATTCGTTAAATCATATCATTGAAGAAGTAGGTGACTAAACCCAGCTGTCATTGCTCACACGTACATTTTTAAAAAAATCCTGCTCGAAAGAGTGAGAACACAGGATTTCCTGGTTCCGGGGTACCTCATCCACCCAGAGATCCTCCAGAGCCCAAGCCTTCAACTCGTCAGAAATACAATGTCTTCAAAGTGGGGAAAGGCTCTATGAGAGATCAGAGGGGAATATTCTCTGAGACAATCTCTACATTAAAATTCCAGGTAAAGGCTTCTCTGATTCCTCTAAAATGACTGATTGTTGTTGCTCTAATGAGAAACTCTTGACTAATTGCTTATGTGTATGCGGTTTGTACACCTAATGCCCAGCAGGTGTCAGAGCCTCAGTCCATGCTGACATTTGGTCATAACTCACGGGAGGGTGAGTTGTGCTGTATGACATTTTAGACATCTGATATTTTATTGTTGCATCGATTTTTTTTATTTTAAATCTAGAAAAAAAAATCCCAAAACATTTTGTGCTATCTGTAAAATCTGACTTCTGTTTACTTCAAAAGCAGTCGCCAAGACTCCACCTCATCGGCCCAGATGGGCTGCTGAGGATTGCCTTGTACCACATGTACAACATAATTCATTCTTCTCGGAGAATCCATACTTTTGCCCGGGTGGAGATAAACCCAAAGTCCAAATACCCTACAAAACCCGTCCTGGCTCCATCCCCCGCAAATTAGCGATAGAGAGGTGTGTACTATTTTTGTGTACTACACATGGCATCTGCTGCTGTAGTCATGGTTATTTTGAATACTGTAAGACCAGATTCAGTGGTCACGTCTCATATAGTGTGCAATACATGCTCATTTTTCCTTTATTGTACAGCAGCTTTTAGTAGAGTCATTAAGTTGTTTTATCTCAAAGTCCTGCTGTGAAATAACTGCGTCTTTATATACTGTGTTGCTAACAGATGTCGAAGGGAATACTTACATTTACATGTTGAAGAGCTCCTGGCAGAAAAGGGCATAGATTCTGATCTCTTATTGCCAAGACCATTGAAAAATAACACCATACCAGACGGTCCTATTTCGCTGTTCCTCCCACTGGAGGTGAGCCTGTTACACAACTGTCCAATCAAGTCCCTCTTTTTAGACTTTTTTTTTCTCATTGCAATACTTTCCATATTTATATATAATGTTATATACACCAAACTTTCCCATGTTTTTTATTAAGCTGTTTGACAATGAAGAATATGACTGCCGGACTCCAGAAGACTGGCTTGCTTTGGGCAATGCTGAAGGATCACCTGATCGAAAACCTATTCCTGGAAAAGCCCTGCTACCTACAGATGATGAAATTGCAAATGGTAAAGTATCATGTAGCTGCTGTATTGGGTGCTGCGCTTGGAGTTGGAGCTTGGCCTCCTAATGTCTGTAGATCTATGTAGGCAAAGGTCAATTTAAAATCAGTGAATCAATGAATCTTCAGCCGTTTTTTTAAATGGTGTTTAGTTTGTTACAAATGATACTTAGGATATAGTTTATCTGTAAACTGCATTTCAACAATGTGTGGTGCTCATGTTTTTTGGCACTTTTTCTTCCTTTTAATCCTTTTTTGGGATTAATTTAAGATATTCATTAAAAGGTAATGAGAAGCAATTTATAAGTGGCCATACAACAATACAACACAGACACCAGTGAATTTAGAATTAAATGTAGTAATGTGTTATTAAATCCCTCTTTTCTGTTCTTTTGCAGATGAGTCTGCAAGCGCGAGCCCACCTCCGAAGTACAGCTGGCATTTAGTTGGAATTCTTGATTACTGTACGGAGAAATGTCAGTATCTGGTAGAGAAGGTCCACCAGACAGACAAAAAAGGAAGTCCTGATATAAGTGAAGAGCATAAGGAGAGTAAATCCCCTGGTTGGTTTCAATGTTTTTAAACTGTTGTAACTCTAGAGTGTTGTCTCTTCATCTCTCTCTCTGCTGTTACTGACCATGTCATTGATCTGTCGCCCTCTTTCTGCATAGAAACAGACTCTTTCATAGCAGGCAGTAAGTACTGGATACCCAGGATCAGACTGTTATTCTGTGCTGAAGACCCACGTGTCTTTGTTGAGCGGGTCGGGTTTGCCCTGCGCTACAGAGAGGAAACAGAGGCACTTATTTTCTACCACTTTTCAGTGGACTGCATGCCCATCTCTAGGAAAACACCGTCTCTCAATACTGATAGTCTCCAGAGTATCAAACAACGTGCCCTCTCAGCTCCTGGCCTTAAGCTGAAAAAGTGAGTGATATCCTGTCTTATTAATTCTATATGATCTGCTTTTTTACTAACTAACAGGATGGATAAATGCAATATTGTGTGTGCAGTTTAGAGACGTGTGTTGCAGGCTTGGAGAATGAGGTCAGACTGGATTATGACCGTACAATGAACCGCTTGATTTTTGACAAAGTAGTGATGAGCTGCCCTGAAGACCTTTCACATATCACCCTGCCACAGAAGGACCCTGAATATGTGCCCTCACAAGGTAAGATATTTTGCATTATGCACTTACTGGTCACTCAGGTCATAATTAAGGAAATGTAGCATCTGCTAACACCTTCGGAATCAAAACACTGTTGTGTTTTATCTATGCAGGGTGTGTTCCGGTTCCTTACTCTGCCTATGAGGCGAATCGAGCTGCATTTATTTTCAAGTCCATGCAAACTAGGCCAGAGCTGATCTGTGTGCTTTCTGAAATGTGGCATGAGTGCAAAAAAGTAGAAAACATGAGGCTGTTCAACTTGATGTTGGGTAAACCACTTCCATTGGATCAATTTGAACTTGACCAGTCTCAGACGCATACTCAGGTACTGTTGCACCGAGAGAGTATCAAGTAAAAACCTGTGTTTACCGGCCGGGGTTGCTAAATAGGGCAAATTAGCCTGTGAGTGCAATCCCCAAATAGTGCTGATAGTTTTGGTCATTTTTATGGGTAATTTACAAAAGTTGTGCTGTTTGCAAAGCACAGACATTTCATTTCACTATCAAGTGCAAAAAGTTTCAGATTCAATGTTAAATATTGGCACAAATAGCAATAAATAGTGAGTTGCAAGTGTTAGTAAATCTGTTTGCATACTTGATTTAGATATTCTCTGTGTTTTGGGCCTTAAGAAAAAAACTCCCAGACATCCATATGCAACAGAGTTAGTCGCAATAATCTCAGACTTTTCACCTCTAACATGCAATTTTGCCACTGCGTGATCTTTTCAAATTTCAACAGTACTTTGTTTTTACACCAGAAATGAGTTTGCTCTGGCAAATCTGGCTAAATGTCTTCATATCCCTTTTTTGTTCTGACTTGAAGAACAGTCAAACAAAAACATACATCTTAGCCATATAAACAAGATAGCGTCTGTAGTTATTTAATAAGCTCATAGGAGATTATTCATTTTGTTTCTACAAGTTTACCAATATAAATATCTTAATCTAACCTCTCTTTCCTTATCCAGATAACCCTGTTTCTTAGAGATAACTGGACCAGCACACTGTGCAACAGCATCCGGTACAACCTTGCGAATATGGGCAAGGGAACATACAACATAAACGAGACTTGCTGGGAGACTTACAAGGTTTCTAAGCTGTCTAAACTCCTCAATCTGGTGCATTACAACATGCAGGACTCCCTCCGTGTCCTTGTGAAGAACTCACTGGTCAGCCTGACCAAGGTCGTGATGGATGCCTGCCACAATGTCCTGATGTGTCCTCAGGACTTTGTCTGGGGGAATGACCTAATCACTAGCCACTACAAGTACGATAAAATGCATTTGCACAACTTTCTCTTTTCCTTTTCCCATTTTTTGGACTTTGTAATAATGAATGAAATATAACTGATTACAATACTTAAAATAATAATTATTTATGTCTGTAATATAACAATTATCCATGTCTAGGCCAAAGAAGAATCCTATTTTCCTGGTGGACCTGGTTCTGGATGAGAGTGGGGTTCATTACAGCACCCCCTTGGAGAATTTTTCAGCATCTACAGTGAACCTGTTTGATAACAGCATTATGTGCACACGTAGTGTGCCTCTGCTTAATAGGGTAAATCAAATCTCCTGAGTAATACAGCACTTTACAAATGAGAATGCAATGAGGCTTCAAAATATAGTACTTTGAAAAAAAGGTTCAAGTAGTCTCTCTTTTTGTCAAATTTTACTAGGAAAAATGGGATGGAAACATTCAAGCATAGATGGAATTAAAGTATATAAGACAAAAACAGAGAATTTGTGTAGTTCTAAGGAGCTCGAAGATTAGTATTTACTATGACCACCTTGATTCTCCTGCACAGTCTGCACTCTCTTGAAAAAGCGTTCTAAGAGAGTGTAGTGTTCAGGATTAGTTTTTCAGGCTTCTTTAAGGACATTCAAAGCTCCTTGGATGTGAGTTGTCTTTCGTTTCATGACAGAGTCTCCACTGTGTCTTACAGATGGACACTCTTTTGTCCAACTTTTCATTGATTTGACTTGTGACAATAAATGCCTAAAGATACAATTTAAAAGTGGACCTTTGCAGCCTTTGAGTTAGGCACCGTTTTTATGTTTGAATTGTTCTCTGAAAATAAGTACTAACCCTAAAATTTGTAAAATAAATAAATAAATAAATAAATAAAAAGCAGCCAATGTCCAAAGAACTTTGAAAGACCTTCAGAAAGCCTGGATAACTACAGGGAGTGCAGAATTATTAGGCAAATGAGTATTTTGTCCACATCATCCTCTTCATGCATGTTGTCTTACTCCAAGCTGTATAGGCTCGAAAGCCTACTACCAATTAAGCATATTAGGGATGTGCATCTCTGTAATGAGAAGGGGTGTGGTCTAATGACATCAACACCCTATATCAGGTGTGCATAATTATTAGGCAACGTCCTTTCCTTTGGCAAAACGGGTCAAAAGAAGGACTTGACAGGCTCAGAAAAGTCAAAAATAGTGAGATATCTTGCAGAGGGATGCAGCAGTCTCAAAATTGCAAAGCTTCTGAAGAGTGATCATCGAACAATCAAGCGTTTCATTCAAAATAGTCAACAGGGTCGCAAGAAGCGTGTGGAAAAACCAAGGCGCAAAATAACTGCCCATGAACTGAGAAAAGTCAAGCGTGCAGCTGCCAAGATGCCACTTGCCACCAGTTTGGCCATATTTCAGAGCCAACATCACTGGAGTGCCCAAAAGCACAAGGTGTGCAATACTCAGAGACATGGCCAAGGTAAGAAAGGCTGAAAGACGACCACCACTGAACAAGACACACAAGCTGAAACGTCAAGACTGGGCCAAGAAATATCTCAAGACTGGTTTTTCTAAGGTTTTATGGACTGATGAAATGAGAGTAAGTCTTGATGGGCCAGATGGATGGACCCGTGGCTGGATTGGTAAAGGCAGAGAGCTCCAGTCCCACTCAGACGCCAGCAAGGTGGAGGTGGAGTACTGGTTTGGGCTGGTATCATCAAAGATGAGCTTGTGGGGACTTTTCGGGTTGAGGATGGAGTCAAGCTCAACTCCCAGTCCTACTGCCAGTTTCTGGAAGACACCTTCTTCAAGCAGTGGTACAGGAAGAAGTCTGCATCCTTCAAGAAAAACATGATTTCATGCAGGACAATGCTCCATCACACGCGTCCAAGTACTCCACAGCGTGGCTGGCAAGAAAGGGTATAAAAGAAGAAAAACTAATGACATGGCCTCCTTGTTCACCTGATCTGAACCCCATTGAGAACCTGTGGTCCATCATCAAATGTGAGATTTACAAGGAGGGAAAACAGTACACCTCTCTGAACAGTGTCTGGGAGGCTGTGGTTGCTGCTGCACGCAATGTTGATGGTGAACAGATCAAAACACTGACAGAAACCATGGATGGCAGGCTTTTGAGTGTCCTTGCAAAGAAAGGTGGCTATATTGGTCGCTGATTTGTTTTTGTTTTGTTTTTGAATGTCAGAAATGTATATTTGTGAATGTGGAGATGTTATATTGGTTTCACTGGTAAAAATAAATAATTGAAATGGGTATATATTTGTTTTTTGTTAAGTTGCCTAATAATTATGCACAGTAATAGTCACCTGCACACACAGATATCCCCTAAAATAGCTACAACTAAAAACAAACTAAAAACTACTTCCAAAAACATTCAGCTTTGATATTAATGAGTTTTTTGGGTTCATTGAGAACATGGTTGTTGTTCAATAATAAAATTATTCCTCAAAAATACAACTTGCCTAATAATTCTGCACTCCCTGTATTGCTCAAGACTACTTTGGAAAATCAGAAGAAGCTCTAGCTCCTTGGAAGTAAAATGCAAAGAAATGGGGGGTACTCTTATAATGATGAATCTTGAAAGTGACACTGATATTTGAATAGTTTTGCATGTGCCTGTACCAGTTTGTGTTGCAGAAGTTATTTATGTTTGGGGAGCCTTTACTTGAGTCAGTGCATTTGGAGGAACCACAAATAACCGAGCTGAGGGAGAACATCCGTAATGTTCTAATACAAGCAACCATACCTCTCAGGGCTTATGCTGCTGAGTATGAGAAGTACTTAGAGCTGCACAATTTGGACATACAAGCTTACATTCTCACGTAAGTCTGTGTTTGAAGTGACGTGCCCACTTTTCACAAGTGTGAGATGTGGGTCTGTTGGATATGTGGCCTATTACTGAATGAACTCGTGCTTTTCTTGTTTCTCTCATGTCCCCATCATTTGGCTACCAGATCTTGTGGTGCAGAAATGACATCCCAAGAACTGAAAAAAGAGGTGCAGCAGCATCTCAAAGAAAAGAGAATAATTGAACAGTCCTTGCCATCCTCCCTAGTGATTGGTCCATTTCATGTTTGTGTTAACGGGGTACGCAAGTCTCTCTCAGAAAAGAGAAAGGAGTTAGCCACGGCACTACTAGACCACCTTGCTCTGAAGCTACGTATTCAGGTTGACCAGGTAAGGCTAAATATTTTCTTCTAAGAGAACATGAATAATAATAACTTTAATTGCTATTTATTTATTTATTCATTTATTTATTTTTATTTATTTTTAAAGACATCCTTAAATTCAGCTTGAAATGACATTTTTCTTGTTTTTCTCTTAAATTTTGGTTATTTTTTTATGTGTAGGCATGTGAAGAATGTGAAATTATTAACAGAAAGCTACGTGAGAAACCCTTTGGCATCGAGGAACTGAGTGAAAAGAGGCAGTGGATGAAACAAATCCCAGAACAGCTTAAGAGTTACAAGGTCGAATGGGTGAAGTGGGTGTTTCTGTAGTACATATTAAATTAAGAATTACTTTATGAATCCATCCTTCTTTTTCTCATCTGCAAACAGGAACATCTTGCCAAGACCTTGTCAGACTACGAGCTCATAGAAGAATTTTTCCACTCTCTTCCCAACAATGATGTCAACAAAAAGTAAGTGTATGATTAGCGTTAGTTAAAAGGAATTTGTTTTAGATACCTTGTAGGAGACTTTGTGAGATTTATAGTGACTTATCTGTGCAGGTGGAAAGCCATTGAATGGCCACAAAAGATAATCAACCAAATGGAACCAGTAGCCACCCAGCACTTGGAGGATGAGGAGTGCTTCCGCAAGATCCATCTAACTGAGCAGAGCAACTTTGAGGAGCATTTAGCTAATCTACAGGTCAACTCAATCGACTATTTTTTACTTTTAGCTTTTCTTTCCAAGCTCCTTAGACTACGATGACCTGGATGACTGAGAACCTTCACAGACTTTTAGCTGGAGGTTTCTTCCTGTTAAAACTGAGTTTTTTATACCAAATGTCGCCAAGACCGTCATCAAAGGGGGTCATCTGTTTGCTGGAGTTTTGTCTGTATTTTTGTAGGGTCTTTACCTTACAAAATAAAGTGCCCTGGAGCAACTCTTGTTGTGAATTGGTGCTACGTAGATAAAACTGATTTGAATTGTTTTTTGCTTTATTAAGCAGACACTTAGAGCAGCGTGTCCACTATATGACAGAGCTTCTAATTATACTGATGTTGCATGGTTCTAAAGTAGTCACTGTATGTTTCTAGATGATTGTTGCTAGGTTTGCGAGCCATGGAGACATTGATCATGCCCATGAGATGGCCAACAAGGTCAGGCAGACAAGCAAGCAACTTAAGGAGTGCCAAACTATGGCCCAAATTTACAACAACAGGGAACGCTTGTTCGGCATGACAGTCACAAATGTAAGTAAAACAGTGGCTCGGGTTAAAGGATTTTTGTGTGATTAATTCAAAAACTAAAGAGTATCTATTTATTATGGGCATTAATGTTTATTACAGTATGACCGTGTGCAGAAGCTTGTAAAAGACTTCCAGCCTTATAGAGATTTATGGACCACCACCTCTGATTGGCTGCTGGAGTGAAAGCTGGTTCTGTGACCCACTGTCTTCCATTGATCCTGAGCAGGTTGAGCACATTGTCACTGAAGCCTACAAGGCCATCCACAAATGTATTAAACAGTTCAACGACATTCCTGGTAGGTGATACGTGTATTACCATTTAAACTTCACAAAGCTGTGCCTTCCATTTCAAAATATGACTGACATTGTTGTTTTTTAATGGGCTTTTCTTGGTGTCTTACACAACTCTAGACTGCCAAATGGTGGCAAATCTAATTCTCAGCAAGATTGAGGACTTCCGTCCTTACGTCCCTCTAATTCAGGGACTAAGGAACCCAGGGATGAAGAGCCGCCACTGGGAGATGCTTTCAGAACGCACTCAAATTAAAGTCATGCCTAAAGCCAACTTGACCCTGCTCACTGCCT